CTTTCCTTTCTTTCCTTCTTTTTCAGTTTCTGCATCCCTAACAAGTTCACATTTTCAGGAGTTTCACACCCTTGCTGTATGGGCTGCTAAAACTGGCTTTGCTGACCCTTCTGTTTCTGTGGAAATCAGCCTTTGGATGTTGTCTTTCTGCTCACTGGGGGCAGGAAATGTGCTGTGGGGTACAAAGGTTTCCGCCAGCCTCGGTGATAGCTTCGGAATGGGTTTATAGCTAAAAGGGAATAGGAAATACTGTAGGTTTCAATCCTGTGAATTGGAGACTGCTGGTCTCTTCATAGTTGAAAGACCTATTTTTTAGTATGAAAAATGTATTTTCATCTATTTCAGTGCTTTTAGAATGTAATGATATAAATTATTGATGTAAATTTTTATTTGTTGGCAAAAGACGCTTTTTTGGTACTAGAGGACGTTTTCAGAGAAAGATTCCCAAATGCACATCTTGAGTAGTATATGGAAAATAATTTCATCTTCTTGAGTTTCAGAATTGCAGTGAGCAAGGATCAAACGCCTGGGTGGGTGGGTGGGCGGATGTGCTTATATGCATCACATCTGTGTCCTGATAGATTAAAATCAGTGAACTTCTCATTTTAGGCTTTTTTGTTGCCCCCTTGTGATGTATCTGCGACACGGAAAGTGGTTAAGGTGTATCAGAAGTGGATTCTGCAAGAGAAACCCGTGTTCATGGAGGAGCCAGACAAGAAGGAAGACAACCAGGATGCTGTTGTCCACTTGGAAGACTCCTCAGTGGAAGCAGATGGTAAACATGTATGGTATCCCTGTTCCTTACTTTGTTCTGTCCTCCTGCAACATGGGGTTAAGTTTCCACCTCTCTGCTTTGTAAAGGAGCAACAGTTAAAAAATGTGTGTAAAGGTTAGAAAATGTTTTTATTTAAGGATTCACAATTTAAATAGTTCCTGAGTGTTCAGTAGCACTTAGGGAGTGCAGGGAAGGATTGCAGCTGGTTTGGGGAATCTCATCTGTTGGTTTATTCCCTGCCTATACAAATCTGACAGCAAGAAAGAAACGCTAATAGGTTCTGCAGTGTTAAAACTGACTGTCTGCTGGCCTGGAGCATGGAGTACTATTTCCTTCTGGTGGTAGTTACTTCGGAATTGGACAATTACTAATTTGACATTCTGGATGAAATATTTGGAATGGGACACCTCAACCTACAAAGTTAAAGTGTAGGAACAATTTCTGCACGTTTTTAATACCCTGTTTTGAAACATCAGTAAAAGTTCTTTGACACTGTTGACACTGCAGCACTGTTTAAAGGGAAGTTTTGTTCTACTTGGAGGAAGAGGTTTGAGTTGTAAAACACTGTGAGAATTACAAGGTTTTGGCAGATTGTTTCTGTAGAGGATTTATGGTTTTGCTAGGCTTAAATTCAGATGTTTACAACAGTGGCTACAAAATGTGATGTAAGATACTGTGAATAACACACCTCCTAAAGCTTTTATGAACCTCTAAATTCCATATACAGCCTGTTTGTTTGGGAATTACGAAGTAATAGACAGGAATTCCCTGTAGAAATGAATGTGGGCCATGACAATTCTCCCTTCTTGCTGTTGATCTTTGAAATGCTTTTGAATCAGTGTGTGCATGTTGCTCTCTGCTCTGCCAGTAACCGAGGTGTGTCTGTGGCAGCTTTCCTCCGAGCACTCCAGGCACAAACGTTCCTCCAGCTGGGGCAGAACCTACTCCTTCACCAGTGCTGTCAGCAGAGGATGTGTGCTGGAAGATGAGGACAGAGATGTTAAAGCTGGTGCTCAGGCTGCCTTACAGGTAGGTGTGTGTGGGAAGGGTACAGAGCTGTAACTCATCTCATCATGTTACTCACACTGCAAATCACATTTATATCTCTGAGATGAAGGAAGAGAACTACCAGTGGTTGATTTTTTGTAAGACAAAATTTGGACTAAATTTATAACTCTAAAATCGGTATGGTAAACCACATGATCATGGCTTAGCGCCAGGTATCTGCATGTGAAGTTACAAGGTCAATTTTTTTTCTAATGCGTGAACGAGGAATAAATCAAACTGTACATTTACCTTTGCTGAACCTCATTTGTTGACAATATCAGTGGTCATTTAAATATATAATACCAGGAAATAAGTGGCTGGAGGAATGTCCTCTTGCCTGCTCAAACAGAAGAGACACCTACAAACCCCATGCTGTGTCTCATGTGTCCCTTAGTGGTCTGTGATGCCACCTGGTTCCTTTCTAGAATGGTATACAAAAATAAGGTGATGGGTAAAACATGAAACTTGCTCTAAGGAAAGGGAAAGGTTTAACTGGAGGAGGACAAGTATTTTACTGTTACTTGTGACTGTTTTCATTCCTGACACTGTGTAAATGTGCTGTCAATGCCTCTGTTGAAGGTGTTCCTGACAAACTCGGCGAATGTGTTCCTGTTGGAGCCATGTACTGAGGTCCCTGTGCTGCTGAAGAAGCAAGTTGATGCTTGCAAAGCTGTTCTGAGTATCTTCAGGCGCATGATAATGGAACTGTCAATGAATAAAAAGACATGGTAAGCTTAACAGAGCATCTTTTAAGAGAAAGTTATCAGCATTTAAACTTTCTGGGAGAGGTATTGGGTAGGGAACAGCCCCTCTTCCTCAGGGGCAGACCATATGACATATGTTACACTCATGACTTGCCTCTGAGTCGATTTGGAGGCGGCAGAACCTGCTGAGCCTACAGCACTGAACTGTTGCTCTTCAAGGTTCTGGCTGGTATTTCCATTCCTGATTCCACCCTCCCAAAAATTAGTTGTTTACAGTCCACAACCAACTAAGGTTATTGTGAAGTCTGAGGTGTGACCATGTTCTCAATAAGTGAGAATTCCTGGAGAACTAATGAACCAGTACAATTATTAGAACACATGAACCAATGTGCAATTTTGGTTTGGAACCAGGGAACAGATGCTGCAGATACTCCTCAGAATAACAGAAGCTGTGATGCAGAAGCCAAAAGAAAACCAGGGAAAGGACACATTTGCTCAGAGCATGGCAGGATTGCTGTTCCGAGTGAGTGAGTGGGGCTGGTGGGTTTGTGTTTGTTCAACATGATTTGCCATAGTTTCTGTTAAGTACTATGAAACCTACTTGTATTACTGTGAAGGAGGATATTTTCATGTTTTACAAGTAGTTATTTTCTAAGCTGTTCCTAACAAAGGGATAGAGATGTATTTGGTCTGTTCTTCAGATCTGTGTTACGATCTGTGGTCACACAGGTGGGCACACAGACTCTGGGGGATAGTTACAATTAGTATCTCTAATGTATAAGCGTCACGTAACTGTTCTCCTGAAAGTCCAACTGGCAAGTCAAAACTGAGTCACACTGGTTGAGATGAAGACATTTATACATCATACTGTACTTCCAGTCTTGGACATTGTAGCTGAGCACATAGTGCTGCAGGCAGAGCTCAGTCGCTGCAGTGCTGTGGGTGTTGGAGATAGTCCAATGTGTGGGTTTGGGTTGGTGTGCCGAGTTCATCTTGTCAGATGTGCCTGAACTGCAACTGGTTTTTTTTTTCTCTCAGACCCTCATTGTGGCCTGGATCAGAGCAAACCTGAGTGTTTACATCTCTCGGGAGCTGTGGGATGAGCTGCTCAGTGTTCTCTCTGCCCTCACGGACTGGGAGGAGCTCATCAACGAGTGGGCCAACATCATGGACTCCCTGACAGCGGTGCTGGCCAGGACTGTGTATGGGGTGGAGATGACAAACTTACCCCTGGATAAACTCAGTGAGCAGAAAGAAAAAAAACAGAGAGGAAAAGGTTAGTTGGTGTGCTTCAGTGTTCCTTGTAGCAAACAAGTTAAATATTGAAGTGTAATCTTAAAAATTAATGATAAATACTACTTAATCTGCTGTTAGAACCTGTTTAATCAAACGTGAAGCACTTTGGATTTCTGTTGTCACTCTTCATTGGGACGGGGAGGTAATTGGGGTCAAGAGAAGATAGATAGCTGTTGAGCAAGTTTGAGTATGCACTTACAGTCAGTGTTTCCTGTGTGGCAGAAGTGAAATGTGGTTTCCTGTGCTGTGGGCACAGGCATCTCTATAACAATCCCTTTCCATGTATTTTTTATTAAACTTTATTAATTACAGTATTTTAGCTGCATTTGCATGCCACCTTGCAGTTGATGCACATAGTTGAATTACTGATTGTTTTTTATCGATAGTAAACCTTCATCTATGTTGTTTAAAGTATTAATTTTTGTCATGTCTGAGTCCACTCATACTTCACCAAAAATATGTGCTAAAGCATCCAGTGTCAGAGAGGTTTGTGTTCTGTGTCCTAAGGTGGCATTTTAGAGCCTCAGAAGACAGCTGTAGTGGGAAGATCTTTTTCATTAAGCTGGAAAAGTCATCCTGAAGTTGTGGAGCCAATGAGATTCAGAAGTGCTACAACCTCTGGGGCCCCAGGAGTGGAGAAAGCAAGAAATATTGTTCGTCAGAGAGCCACAGGTTAGACCATAACTAAGTGCCTTTGTGCCCAGATGCTCAGTAACACTTAAGTTTTAAATCTGCCTTTGGGGTGTGGCTGCTGCCGAAAGCAATTTAATAATTAATTGCCCAAACAGAGATGTTGTGTGCCTGAGTCTGAATGTCTTGACCAGGATGAATCAGAGTCAAAGTATTTGGGGGAATTCTAATTGTAAGCTTTTAACTACAGTAGATTGAATTGTAAGTTAGGCCTGTGCACATTATGGTGGTTTGTAAAGAACATTGCTGGTTTTATCAATTCATAAGAAAGCATTTGTTGCCATCAGTCTGATCATAGCTTTTGGTACAGCCTGCTATTTCCTGGGAGCACCAGACAAACCAGGTATCCATTAAACTATTTCACCCTTCTGAGTTGCTTTGTTTGCTTTCCTTTTCTTAGCATGGCGAGGTATGAATAGCACCTCCTTTTCCTTTTTTCTCTCGTGTTTCCTTCTGGAAAGGAAAAACAGGAGAAGGGAGACCAGGGTGAGGAGTGCTGGGAGAATGTCTGAGATCCCCAGCATGGAACAGATCCCTGTTCATTTCAAGCATTTCAGCAGCCCAAATCTGGCCTCTCTTTATTTTATGGCAGCATGTTTCTGTGTGCCAATCCACCAGGCAGTGGATCCAAACTCTCCATAGAAATCTCCTGCATTTGAGCAGGAGCTCTTTGGCTGCACAGCTCCCTCCCTGGTTCCAAACAAAGTTGATCCAAAGTTCCAAAGTTGTGTTCCTTACCAGCAGAACCTGAAGGGTTTTGTGGTTACAGGCTCCACAACTGAGCCACAGCCTTCAGCTGGGATCACAGAACCCTTTGGCAATGGAGTTGTTCGTTCTTTGAGCCTGTTTTATCTTTAAGTTCAGTGAGTCCCTGTTTGTGCTCCAGCAGAGGATTCTCTCTTCTGCTGCAGCATGTCTCCCCTTGAAGTCCTGCCAGAGCTGCAGGGAGAACTTGGAAGTGTTGATCTAGAACTTTTCTTGGTTGTGTGTGTTCAAATTAAAGGCACTTCCACACTTCCTGTGATTCTGACATCCCTGATTATTGCCCTCTCAGTATGAGTGATACAGTTGCACATTATTAACTTACATCTTATTGGAATACTGCTGTTTTCTTTTTTTCCCCCCATTGTATCATGTTATTCAGAACCCAGATATTCTGTTATTTTCTCTGACATAACTATTGCTTTATTTTTTCCTGGAAGCTAAGCGAAGCCAATCTATCAGCAACTGTGTCCATCTCTATGAGGCTTTGCCAGCTACTAAAAGTGTACCTCTTCTGCTTCACACTGTGAGCTCTCTCTTCCCTGGTATCTCTTACACTTCTTGCTCTCACAGACTGTCAGGTACTGTACTTTAAAGTCACCTTTTGTATCAGTGTACTTTATATTTTTAAACTGCTGTCTGTCTGTTCTCTTTCTGTCCCAGTGATTCTTCTCACGATGTTTGTAGCACTGCAAGCAATGCAGTTTTTGTTCGTTTTAATATTAAAGCTTACCATCAATTGCAATTAGATTTATATTTCCTAGTAACTAAAGTAAAATTTCCCAAATTTCACTTCCTGGGAAGGATTTCTGACTCCTGAGTCCTAATCAGAGTCATTAGCAAGAAAAGGAGAGTTTTGTATGTGTTGCTTTATGGCTCTGTAGAGATTCCTGTTCTGTGAATATTTTTGGTGTGTTTTCATCTTAAGTTATCTTCAGGGCAACACTGATATTGTTCCAGCAAGTGAATTGCATTGATTATTTTACTGGTTTCTGTAAGACATTTCAAGTCAACAATGGTACTCTGTAAATCATTACTGCAAATACTAGTAATGTTAGTTTATGTGCACATGTCTCTGTGAGGTAACTTTCTGAACTACCTGCATTGTTTATTAAGTAGAAAATCAGTATTTAAACTTCTACACTGCTGGATGGGAAGATACTTGATCCTGAGTGTTAGTGGGTTGGGATTTTTTTCCCCTAATGCTAAGAGAAATGAATTTGTTGCTCCCTAATCTCAGGAGTTCCTAGTGCACCTTCCCCAGCATGTCAGTTTACTTTCTCATTGGGAATTTCATGCCTTTCTCTCCTCTCTTTGTTTCTCATTTGCAGTTAGAACAAAACCAAAAGCTGCATGATGGGGTTTGTCCTCACAAACTGAGCCTGAGCCATGTGTAGCTCAGAGCTTTTTTTTTTTTTGCGCTGAGTTGTTGCCTTTGTTTATACTTCCCTTCCCCTCTTTGTGGAGGAAATCAGGGAGCACAGCCGTCTTCTTTGCATGCTGCATTTGCAGTTTTGCTGCCTCTGCTCTGTTTCCAGAGCAAATGAGCCTGTTTGGATCTCCAGCACTGAAAAACCATATTTGTTCATGGGACATCCTCCCACCCTTCCTCCTATGAATCCCCAAAGGAATTTCTGTCCATTTCCTAGACTTTCTACTGCTCACACTGCTCGTGCATCTCTCTCCGAACTTCACAGTTTTTCTAAGATTATTTTATATAGCTTAAATCATAACTTGTAGTTTGTGAATTTTAAATATTTGCCAGGGTCACTTTTCCATAGAGTTCTCTTAGGTTCACATGTGTATACATGTATGTAATCCTAAGTTTCTGCAAATATTTCATGTTTTAATTATATCAACAGAAGTTGAAGAATCTCAACAGCTAGAAAATGCAGCAGGAACAGAAGCTGCAGGCCTGATTGCTGACCAAGAACAGCAGCTAACTCGAAGTAGCAGCACTTCAGATATTGCAGATCAGATTCCATCTGAATTTTTTCAAGGTAATTTTGATAAAATACAGCAATACTGCACTTCTGAAGAGAAAGTGTTGACACTTGTTCAGCCTCATAAATGCTGCTCTCTTCTAAAATGGTTTTTGTCTTATTTTCTTAGCAAAATGTATAGTCAGTGTCTTTTTAAAAGAATTGTTTTTAAGAAATTATAAACCACAAATGCAGGATGTGATCTGTGGTAAAGCAGAGAGGTTAAAAACAAAACCTGGAATGTGTGCATTTTGTATGTAACTCTTAAACTCTCTTAAACCTGACTTGCATTTAAATTTTGTGTGTTCAAGCTGCAGTTTGATTTCTGTTGTTCTCGTGTAAGTATGTGATGCTTCTGAAGGATTTTTCAAAACATCGTATTTCCCATTTCCATGTTGTATTGCTTCCCTCAGCGAAAAGTACAAAACATGTAAATATCAGTGAAGTTTTCTAATGACTTGCTATGTACTTTGACCCCACGAATGGCTACACTTCTTGTTTACTTTCTAAAATTTCTAGGTAAAAAGGGTGGAAGTCCTCATAGTTCAACCTCAGACCCCAAATCAGTTCAAGAAAATAAGGGATATGCAAAGAAGGAACTTGAAGCTGAGCAAGTAAGCCAAACCTCGAAGTGATTACTGATAAGATTCTAACTGGTTTTCTTTCTAATCAGATGCCTTTTAGCACTTAGAAACTCTAGCAAGTGAAAGTGTGAAAAATTAGTAAAAATGTGAAAATTAATCCCATTTCTGGCATGGAATCTGAAATTGAGCTGTCGCTGTTTATTACACTACTTGATGTGATCCTTTCATGTCTCCTGATCTCGTTAGCTGCTCCTGCAGGTTTACGTAGTTGTCTCTGTTCTAGCCTTACACAAGACTTCTGTGCTTCTGTAAAATATTAAACATCAACAAGAAGTTAATAACTTTTAAAATCTAAATAATTCATGGCTATTATAGAGCTACAGTACACTGAAATAAATGTTTGATCATTTAAGGTACTGGGGAAAATGCTTTTCTTCAGCACAGTTTTATCACCAGCCGTGCATTGCAGATGTTTGTGTGAGTTGACATTAGCACAAGCAAGCTTCATACATTTTTAATGGCAACCTTTGAATAAGCTGTCAAAACAATAAGTGACTCAGGCTGATCATCTTTGTGAAGTATGAAGGCTGAAAGGTTTTTTGATACTTTAAAAAGCTTTGAGTTATTTCAGATGTGTTGAAAAACATAAGTAAAATGTCCTGCTTGGTGTGAAACCAGAGTGTCGGAAAGGGAGGATAAAGACTGAAATGGAAAGTGATGTTTTCCTAAAGACATTTACAGACACTTGGGTAGTCTGAATATTCATGAGAATGTCTTGGCTGAGTTGAAATTAATTTCTAATAACTATGTGTGTCTCAAATTTGCTAAGATGAAATGTAGTTCTCGTAACTGTAATGAACTGAGGTGATTTTTTTCTAGCAGGTGCTAATCCGAAGGAGCAGTAGTACAGCTGAATTAGATCTGAAAGCAGACTCTCAGCAATCACTTGGAAATCACAGAGAGAGAGAGAAAAGTGAGTTCCAAGAAACAGTGTTTTCCTTAAGTGCAACAATTGAAATCAATGTCATCATTTTGCCTTGTTACAGATGGATGAGATGCTTTTCTCCTCTAATGCCGCCTTTAAACCCAGGTCTCTGCTCTCTGTTACCTCATGCTTCTGCAGGTGAGAGTGTGAGCAGTGACACATCCCTGGGCTATGGTGCTGACGCAGAGATCACGCTCATGCCCTGGCAGGTGGCTGAGGATGACCATGAGGTCAATGTGGAGGTCAGACCAGAGGTGTGTGTGGATCCTGGCACGCCACGCTGGCTGCAGCTCAGCCCCTCAGACACTGCCAATCTGACAGGTACTGGAGCCACAGAATGTCTGTGCAAGCTTGGACTTCTGTCTCAAAAAGGAGTTTATGCAGTTAGGTTGGCTTATAAATAGTACATTTTCTTTGCCTGAATCACCAAGTACCCTTCACAGTCCTCCTCCAAGAATGGGTTTTGCACACCTAGAGTTGAAGGAATTTGGGTCATCAGACTTGAAGCCAGTAAATGGTGATCTAGAAAATGATTGCCCAGTGCCAGACTACTGCTGCCTGCCCATCTGGGCTGTGAGAGCTGGTCACTCTCTTGGCCTGCTCCAGTGTGCAAGTACAATACATTAAATTATACTCTAAATTATTAGAGTTTATTGCTTAGCAGAATGGTCTGAGGAAAATTATTCCTATATTTTTTGACTGATTAGAAATAAGTGGTTTGTTCTTTGCCATTTGTAAAGGTACCTTTCATCTAGTGATGTGAGTCAGAGATGCTATTTCAGGAACTTCAGTAACATGGGAGTATCTTACAGGCTGATTTTGCTAACAGATACATAGTTTCAAGGATATCTTTTTCATATTCCCTTTTTGTTTGAAATGTCTCTGATTTAATGAACTAGCACACTTCATTCAACATCTCAGACTGTCACTGTAAAAAAAGCAGCGGGTAATACTGCCTGTGGTAAAGATGATTATGTGTGATAAATTCATTGTTTTCTTCATGGCTGGAATGCAAGAATTGCTCTTTTAGAGGTAGAAAGAGAAAGAATTACATACAATAACCTGAAAGATAATGTAGACCAAAGGGAAAAGTGGTGTAACAGATATATCATTGCTCAGCAGTGCCAGTGTGCCCTTGCTGAATTCCTGCTTCTCACCCAAGTTACACAACTTTGTTTTGCTGTGGAAACCCCCATGGTGTAAGGCAGAACAACACTGACACCACCACTGAGCAGCAGAGAAGCCATTTCCCTATGGACAGATCTGTTGAAGATGATTCTATGTGCTTAATAAATAGTATCTGTTTTCACACTTTAGGACTTCATAATGTCACAGCTGAAAAAAAAAAAAGCCGGGGGGGAGATCCCCAAAGTTGTCTTTTTGAATACATTCAAGCAAACATAAAAGCATCTAAAACGGCTTTTATTTTGCTTACCTTCCTTGTGTCCTGGGAGGCCATGAGTTATTTTCTTTTGTGTATGTAGAGGTTTCCTGCAACTTCCCTCCACACTTCGGCCACCGCCAGTGCCACCTGGAGCACAGGTGTGCTCCTGCCTGTGGAGAGGCTGCACAGCAATCCCTGCTCTGGCAGGAGAGCACCTTATGGAATATTTTTTTTATTGTTTGAAGATATTAATTCTATTATCCTGACAGTCCTCTCCAACACCTGCTTTCCATCCCAGTGTGCACACTCCTGTCTCAGGAGCTGTTCTGTGAGTGGTGATGCCTGAGCACATTCCTCATGACTCCCTATCCATACGTTTTTACTCCTTTGTTCAGTTGCATTTCCAGGTCATCTTATACTGTGTCATCTTTAAAAAAAAAAAAAGACCTTTAGAACTAGAAATGTTACCTGTAAAAGCCAGTTCTTGATTCAGTACACCTCTCAGGGCACATGAATGCTCCATTTAACTGCCTTTGTCTCCCTGCTGAAGCCCTACTCAAGTGGGGACAGTCTGATCCTGAACTGCTGTGCTCTGTGGCACTGTGAGGTGGAAGCACCTTAGCCTACATTTGCTGCCACTTTTTGCTTTGAATCGTGTGCAGCTTAAGCAATGAAAAAGAGGTAACTGGGGAGAGATCATTCTTTTGAGATGGAACATGGTTAGAAGGATTAACGTTCTTATTTTGCTGACCAGATTCATACTTGTGCTGCATTTCTAGTTCTTGGAAATTGAATGTTTTATATTTACAGACAGTAGTGAATTCCTTGCTGATGACTGCAGTATAATTGCTGGTGGAAACCTTATTGGTTGGCATCCTGATTCTGCTGCTGTGTTATGGAGAAGGATTTTGGGAATTCTTGGAGATGTGAACAATATACAATCACCTAAAATTCATGCAAAAGTTTTTGGGTACCTTTATGAACTGTGGTATAAACTTGCAAAGGTATGTGATGATTACAGTTAATGATAACAACTTTTCTTCTGTTGTAAAAATGGTTATTCCATATGATTCAGAGTTAGCACCTGGAGCACAAGCATTGAAGGGTTCTGTCACAAAGGAAGCTGATCCTATGTGGTTTCCAGTAACTATCCCAAATAGAGCATGATCTTGGCGTTTGACAAGAGGGTTTAAACAGTTCATTTAAATAGGGTGAGGGAAACAGTAGCAAAGAACATAGAAGTT